TTTTCAAAGTAGTTGAATGATTTTACATTCCCGCCCCAAGTTTTTTTGTTTGTTTTCACTTGAAGCAACTCCAGTTTAAAAAGAAAGAGAAACAGAAGTCGGTCTTAATGAAATATGAAAGGCAATGAATAATGAGCTTCCTAAATTATTTGTAAAAGTCAAGACAACCAGTCTACACGGTACAGAGCTATCTGATAGCGGATCCTCCAGGCAGAGACTTTGATTTTGATCATTGATTTGGAAATAATTTTAACCACTTAGATCAAAGGTTTACACAAAAATGAGTCAGGCGAGGGCCCAAATGCCTAGAGAAGAAGAATTCACATACAGCTTCCTTAAGATGAGCTTTTCACTCTGTTAAATGGAAGACTCAAAGAGGAAAGAAGAGTCTTCCCAAGAGTTGCCCTTGTTTACCAAACAGCCCAACGCTGTGATAAATGAAACAACATCCTGATGCCTAATACAGCTCGCCCCAGGCACTGACTCAGCTTTGTGTTTCCCTGAGTTCTGTTTCCAATGAACAGGTTTGGGAACTTTATTAATTATGCACTCTGGGGCATCGGGCTGTGATAGGGATCAGGGTCTGTACAGCCCCAGTAGCCAGTCTTCAGCTTGCTGGCAGCACAGGAGGCAGCAGCTCTAAGTCTTCTCTGTTTCTGAGATGTCCTAACACCCACAGTGTTCTTTTCCCTGGTTGTACAGGGCTCAGTAAAAGAAAGTGAAGACTGTGAAGTGACAATATCAACTCCAATCTCAGAAACTTCAGGAGATGCTCAGAGATGTTCAATGCAATATTTTTTCTATTTGGAAAATTCAAAATTGGCAACAACATGGGTTTCCAAAAACGGAAAATAGCTAAATAAAAGCCCCTCTTCCTCCTGCAGATGACAGGAATCATTGTGTTAAGAGACGAGAAATTATGCAATGAGGTCTTAGAAAAATCCTGTGGTAGCAACACTCTGAGCATAGAATGGCAAAAAACCCAGATTCAGAGGGTTCCAAGCCCATAGGAGGCAATTATTTTCAGACCATTCAGGAAAGGGTCCGGGCTTGGTTCTTTGACAAACCAATGGATTTTCATATGACTTTTATTATTATAAGTGGCCTAACTTCCAGGCAGAAAGGAGTAAGAAAATCCATTTTTTGAGTTCCTACTGTGTGCCAGGCACTGGGTCAAGCACTTACCAAGCATTAATTGACTGAATCCCCACAACTGCTCGGTGAAGTAGGTGCTATTATCCTCATTTCAAAGATGAGCTCTGCCTCAGTGAAGTTAAAAGATATTCGGAAATTATCCCAAATAACAGGAGAAGGAGTCAGAATTTAAACACAAGTCTCCCTACTCCAAGCCCTTGCTCTAGACTTTACCAACTGCAAATAAAGTTTAAAAGGAATTTTTAAAATGTGCAGCTGCCACCCTTAGCCATGAGCAAGAGCACCACGCTCAGCCTGAATACAAAGATGAGCTTGAAAAGAAAAACACATTTTTATCCTTTGAGTTCTCCTTCTAATGACTAAATGGCTGTCCACTGCCCAGGTTAGGCTTGTTTTCCCATGAGAAAGGTTTCATAAAAAGCCTATTTCCATGACAGCATTGCCCTCCTGAGAGCCTATTGTCCATAGAGACCGGCCTTGAACTTTGTAAGACAGTGACATTTCTGCTTTCCCCCTCCCATCCAGGGAGGGCAGCTCTCCTGCTGTCTAATTCGATTTTCTAATATAAAGAAAAGCAACACTACTCTCTTCATTCACTGTCTTGTTCAGAGATGTCGTCCATCACCAGAGTCGTGGGGTCTTTTTAAGCCACGCAAACAACAATGTATTGCTTCAATAACTGTCTCTTGTATGTTTGGGGGTCTTCACAAAACAGCGGGTTGCAGTACATGTGGCTGGTTTGCCCTTATTAAACTGTGAAGGTCACTCCTCTTCCAGGGTCTATAATCAGCGAGTCCTCGCTTCCCTTCCACAAATGCGTCTATCCCAGAGCCTTCTGCAATTATGGCTCATTTCTCTAGGTTTCATATGGCAGGCGTCTGAACAGAATTAAAAGCATAAGCCAGTGCAAGAATAATCCGCTTCCCAAGATAGTAAGTGCTGAGAAGTTCTATATTAGGACACACTGTGCGTGCTGACTGGCTAGGGAATGATTAACCTCATAGGCTTAGAGCTTCACTTGCTAGTACATCTGTCAGGACACAAGCAAAACACAGGCAGGCCCATAATCCACGAGACTGAGGGCCTTCAGAACTGTCCCACTGCTCACTAACAGCAGAGGGTTCAAAACTCAGAAAGACAACGGACAGTACTTCCTCTCCACAGTGGGGCCAAGGAAGTAAGGAAGGTTGGTTCCAAGTTCAGGACATTGCACCACGGACGTCAAAGGATTCTAGTCTGGAAATTACCTGGATGGACTAGTAAGACTGCCTTTTGTTCCTATTTTAAATATGGTTCTCTGAAAATTATGAAGGTTGTGGGTGGAGGATGACTACAAGCTGAAATCATGGGGTGTACACCTTCACACAGTGACATTGTAAACAGTGTGGCAAAGAGTGGCATCCAATTTTTGAAAAAACCCAAAGCAATTTTGCCAGGACGTCAGGGGGGCAGTGAAAGAGATTCCATCCCTTTGCTGGTTAAAAGCTCCACCTGCTATGACTCAGGGGGGGGCCTGCCCCAGGGACAGAGGCTGGCAGAGGAGCACCCAAGTTCCAGGAAGACCCAAACCACGGCTGAAGGTCCTGGTCAGCTCATGGGAGATCCCGCTTCCGGCAAAAGGAAAGGTACAAAAGGACTGATCCCAGAAACCAAGACCTCCCCATCAAAGCTGAACAAATCACAAAGCCTCATGGCTAAGGACATTACGTCCAAGACACAGGACTCCCACAGGTCACCAGGGGCAGCCTTTTCTGGGGAAGAGAATGAGGAAAGTATTACCCAGGAGACCTCTAAGTGGGACAGGAAGCCAAAATGCCACAGGGTGTGCAAACAGGGCCATTGCTGCCAAGCTGGCCTCTCTGCTCATGGGTCTGAAGGCAAAGTGGACTTCCCTGAGCCCCTGGTGAAGGCCCACCAACATGCTTACGCCTATCTGCACTCCAGCCTCTCCAAATATGAAGCAATTCTGTGCATCATCCATCGGGCCACCCAGACCCGGGAGCTGCTGCAGCCCATGGTCAGCTTCCTGCTGCTGTGCTTTGAGGAGATCAGCCAGCTGTTGGGGGAGATCTCCAAGGATGGAGAAGTGCTCCTCCAGGAAGTTAGGGAGGATCTGGCTTGGCCATTGAAGAAAGGAGAGCCCGAGGAGCAGCCAGATCTCCTGCAACAGCTACTGCAGTACACAGTGAGCAAGCTTCAGGTGCTCAATGGCACGGTGGCCTCACTCACCAGCAGCTTCCTGGAGGGCTCCAGCAGCTACCTCCACTCCACTGCGAGCCACTTGGAAAATAAGTACAGTGAGCAAGCTTCAGGTGCTCAATGGCACGGTGGCCTCACTCACCGGCAGCTTCCTGGAGGGCTCCAGCAGCTACCTCCACTCCACTGCGAGCCACTTGGAAAATAAGATGAGCACAAAAAGGGCAGTGGATGAACGCCTGCTGAGGGCTCTGGGACAACTAGGGAGCCTGGCGAGTGGCCATGGTGACCCTGGGGCACGGGATCTGCCCTTGTGCTCTGAGGACAGTGGCATTGGTGCTGACAATGACTCTGTGCAGTCCATGGACAAGCTGGGCAAGCAAGCCAGCTGGGACAGTGCACCCGAGCCTGTAGAATGGAAGCCAGTGATTTTACCCCAAGCAGAGGCCAAGCTTTCAGGACATGCCTGGCAGCAAAGTCCATCCTGGATGAGTTCAGACAGACCCCAGGACTGCCCGCTCTCAAGGCCTCCCATGGCAAAGATTCAGCCAGCAGCACAAGGTGAAGCCAGAAGCCCATGCCCCTCCGGCACAGGCCCAGAAAATATTACCTCCGAGCCCTTGGCACTGGGCAAAAGCACTCCATGTGATTCTCTTGGGACGGGGGACCCCATGGAAGCACATCTTTCGAAAAGCTCCAGATTGATGGATGCTTCATCTGTTAGTGAAGGTGAGAACAGCAGTCCAGAGGAGGAGGAAGATGAAGGTAGCAGCGTGAGTCTGTGTGCATGGCAGGAAAAACCTCCGTATTCAAGGCCACGGACTTCGCCTGCTAACCGGGAAAGCCCATTTAAGCCACATCCCAGGAGGCTTAAGAGCCCCCAGCTCCAGGAAATGATTCTGAAGATGAAGGAATCAATCAGTGAAAGGATCAAGTTTGTCCCTGTGCCCTCTGGGCACCAGGACTGGGCCGAGGAGGAGGATGAGAGGACAGTGGTCCCACCAAGACCCAGCACGGTCAGTGGCAGCAGGAGAGCCCCGGAGAGACAGAGGAGGTCTCATTCAGAGGGGTGTCTGAAGAGCCATGTGGAGGACCCCACCCTCCAGGAGCTGAGAAGGGTCCAGAGAGACCTCAGTCAGAAGCTGGAGGTATTTTACACCCTGGGTGCCAAACAGCAGAGGTGCAGCAAGGAGCAGATTCTACAGCCCAGAACAGTGGCTCTGTGGCCCAGCAACAACTGCAGGGTCAGCCCAAGCAACACCGTCAGCAAGCTCAAGGCATCCCTCTCCAAGAACTTCAGCATTCTGCCTAGTCAGGACAAGAGCATTTTGCAGAAATGCGGTCCTCACCCTGAGGATGAACAGCCATGGCAGGAGAAAGCTGAGAAGCTTCCTAATGCCATCCCACCAGATGAGAAGGACAGTGAGGCTCCCGGGACCAAGGACTGGAATGTCAGGGGCTGTCCCACCAGAACATCAGTCAAGAAACTCATTGAAACTTTCAGTCCCACTGAGAATCTGAGGACACCAGGGGACCCCAAGAACTCAGGGTCAAACCCCTATCTCAGGAAGTGGGGGGTCCCCATTATGCCCCCCCGATTTCCCATTTACAGGGGGCTTTCCCCTCTATATCCTAAGCCCCAGATTTCCCCAGCAGCAGGCAGAGAATCTCTCAAAGTGGGCATAGGCTGGAGGCCTTCAGCACCTGTCTTTCCCCCTCTGCTCACAGCAGAAGTATCCAAGACTGAAGACATCACCAGCGAAACAAAGGGGGACCCAGAGCTTCTCCCTCCACCACCTCTGGAAGTCCTGATGGACAACTCATTCACTTCTCTGGAGCCCTCAGAAAGCAGCAAGCCAGCAGGGAGCTCCCCTGAAGGGAGCCAGGTCCCAGGGCTGGAAGAGGCCAACCCTGCCAGGAGAACGTGGGCTTCCCCAAAGCTGAGAGCCTGCATGAGTCCCATGGACTTGCTGCCCAGCAAGAGCACTGCCAGCCCCCTCAAGCCCCACAGCACATGGCCAGGGAGTAACAGGAGCAGCTGCAACTCCGGGAAGCTTGCCTTGGACCTGAGCCACCCACCAGCAACCAGCCAAACCCCAGAGGCGGAGCACAGGGCGCAGAGTCAGGCACAACCAGAGAAGGCCACAAGCCTCCACAAGCCTCCCCGGAAGGCAGTCACCTGGCATCGCTCCAGCCACACGTCTGGGCAAAACAGGACCTTGGAACCCAGCCTGGCCAGACCATCACGAGGGCCACATTCTCCTGAGGCCCTAAAGCAGAGCCAAGAGAGAAGCCCCTCAGTGGTCAGGAAGGCCTCTCCTGTGAGGGCACAGTGGACGCCCCAAGCAGACAAGAGGCACCCAAGCCTGCCCTCCTCTCACAGGCCTGCCCAGCCAAGTCTCTCCACTGTGCACAAGTCCTCCAGCCCACCACTCAGCTCTGGAGCCCCCAGCCCACCAGTGAGCCCCAGGGTGCTAAGCCCACCAACAACAAGGAAGCAAACTTCCCCACCGCCTCAGCACAAGCTGCCCAGCCCTCCACCCATGAGCCCACCTGCTCAGCACAAGGTCTCTAGCCCTCCTACCCAGGGCACAGAAGCAAGTTCCCCTTCCTCTGTTTCCTCCCTCTCCCCACCAGTGTCCCCCTCCCAGGGGCACAAGGGAACAAGAGACTCTGAAGACAGTCAAGCAGCCACAGCCAAGGTGTCTGAGAACACATGTTCCATATTCTGCCCAGCTACCTCCTCTCTGTTTGAAGCTAAATCACCGTTCTCAACAGCCCACCCATCGGCCCCACCATCGCTGCCATCAGAGGCTGGGGGCCCTCTTGGGAGCCCAGCGGGATGTTGGAGGAGCAGCTCAGGGCCCCGACTGAGGGCGGATTCACAGAGGAGAAAGGCTCTGTGCACCCTCAACCCGCTGCCTTTTGTCAGAAGGACAGCTTCTGACCGACAGCCAGGTGTCCGGCTTCAGCTGCCTGTCTCTGGCTCCACCAGCACCTCTTGTGAATCCCAGCTCAGCCGCAGCAGGTAAGGAGCGTCCTCGGGCCACTGCCCTTCCATTACTTGGAAGAGAGAAGAGCAGAGGGCTGAGCCCTTAGAATCACCCAGGTCAGCCGTTTCCTAACTACGCTCTGCCTGTCTCTGGCTCCACCAGCACCTCTTGTGAATCCCAGCTCAGCCGCAGCAGGTAAGGAGCATCCTCGGGCCACTGCCCTTCCATTACTTGGAACAGAGAAGAGCAGAGGGCTGAGCCCTTAGAATCACCCAGGTCAGCCGTTTCCTAACTACGCTCCAAGAGAAGAGGCTGTTGGGAAAAAGGTGGGGGGAATGGAGTTCCAGTCTCCCCCCAACCTTGAGTACCTGTGCTTTCATCTGTCACACATTTTGGATTCCTGAGAAGGATTTTAAATGAAAAGAGGCTCTGCTGTGTTCAAAAATTAAGTTTAAAACAATCAAGTTAGTACAACCCCACACGCCCCTGGTTTTACAGATGGGAAAACAGATGAAACGACTTGCCCATGGGGGGCTCACTGCTGCCCTGCCTGGAGCCAGCAGCCCAGTTTCTGTCGTTTCTGGTTCATAGCAGTAGAAATGCATCTAGGTGTGAGGATCTCAAACTATTTGGTCCCAGGACCTCTTTAAATTCTTAAAACTTGTTAAGAACCCCAAAGAGTCTTTGTGTATGTGAGTTATACAAGGGTACTTCAAAAAGTTCATGGAAAAATGGAATTAAGTGATAATACAAATCTTTCCATGAGCTTTTTGAAGTACCCTTGTATCTATCAAATTTTACTGTATTAAAAATTAAAACTGAGAAATATATAAAATATTATTTTTAAAAAATTATTATGTCAACACAAGTAATATATTCTTATGAAAAATATATTTTCCACAACAAAAAAATATCTAGGGAAAAGAGTGGTACCGTCTTACATTTTTGCAAATCTTTTAAGTTTCTGGCTTCATAGAAAGACAGCTGGATTCTCAGATCTGCTTCTGTAGTCAATCTGTTGAGAAATCACACACATCCCGTAGATTCTAGAAACTCCATCCCACATTCGGGAGAGAATGAAGAAAAGGGCAAGTAACATCTTTGTATTATGATGTAAAGTTTTGATGTCATGGGCCTCCTGAGAGTGTCTCTGGGATAACCAGGGGTCCCCAGACCATGCCTTGAGAACAGCTGGTCCTGGAGGTATGAAATATGCATGTTTGGCTTTTCATACCCCCAAAGACCTGGCTCCACTTCTCCAGCGTCAGAGGTTTGTAGAGTAAGAACAAGACTCTTCACGCTCTCTGAGCACCAGAATCCAGGCAAAGGGCTGCCATCCCCACCCTTGGCAGACTGAGTTCCAAGTGCACCTTTTTTACCAGGGGCAACTGACTTGTGTGTCACCGGCCCAGCCGTGCACACGGGCCCAGGCATGCAGCTGCAGTAGGGCATGAGGTAAAGTGTAGCCATTGCATGTGCATTGAAAGAAGGACTTATACACTCAAGTGGTTATTTTACAGAATAGGAGTACATGGGGAAAATGTACCTTTTCCAGAATGTGGTATAGAAAAAAAAAAAATGTAAACCTGAGGCCTGTTAGAGAACTCTTAGGAATGTATCTTGATAGCCAATCAGACAAAGCTCAACCAACACCAATCCTTGCTATCTTTGCATTGCCCACAATTGTGTAAATCAGCAGTTAATTTCTGCCAGAGTG